ATGAAAGGCCCATATGTATTTTTAGTCAGTCCTCTCAAAAAGATCCTGAGACAAAATGGTCCCATTTTATGCTTCTGTTAACTGAGACTTAGAGAAGTTTAAAAAGTGTCAGAGCCAGAATTCATACAAGGATATGACCCAAGAGAGCCAACTCCCACTCCATATTCTATAGGTGGCTAAAATCATATGGGAGTAGGGCTGAAGTTGTGGCTCAGCGGTAGAGCACTTGCCTAGCATATATGAGGCACTGGGTTCTATCCTCAGCAACACAAATAAATAAATAAATAAATAAATAAATACAATTAAAGATTCATCCACGACTTAAAAAAAAATCATGGGAGTGATAATACCAGTTAATTAAAAAAAAGGCAATAAAAATCCATAATCTGAAAGCTATAATTAAGTTGAGACAAAGAACATTAGTAACAAGTTAGAAATCGACTACTGAGAACTGAAATAGGATATACAGTTGTCCCTCGGTATCTGTGGGTGATCTGTTCTAGGACCTCTCTTGGATACTAAAATGCAAGGATGCTCAAGTCCCTCATATAAAATGGAATACTACTTGCATATAACCTATCATACCTTCTATATATTTTAGCTCATCTCCAGATTATTTATAATAGTTAATACAATGTAAATGCTATGATGTTCAGAGAATAATGACAAGAAAAAAAGTCTGTACATGTTCAGTACAGAAGCAATTGTGTGTGTGTGTGTGTGTGTGTGTTGCTGGGGATTGAACCTAGGACCTTGTGCATACAAGGCAAACACTATACCAACTGAGCTTTGTCCTCAACCTATCTCCTAATATTTCTGATTCGTGGTTGGTTGAATCCACAGATATTAAGTGGCAACTGTAGAGTACTTATTCTAAGTAATGAAGAAAATAGGAATGAAGATTATGTTTCTGATGCCATGAGGTCATTTACTTCTAAAATAAAATAACTGGCTTCATGTTAGGCATTCATTAAATCTTTGAGAGATTTCCTACATTTCCACCTGCCTCCAAAGGAAGGGTGAATCCATTCCAATGTGACTTCTGGGAAGACTGTATTTCTATCAAACAATTTGAAAAATATCAGGGTTACATTTATTACCTATCAGTGATAACAAAGTCTCAAAAGCAGTTACATTTCCAGATTAAGTAAGTGAAACAGAAACAACATCTGTGTCACAATAGGTTGGATAAGAAAAGATTTCAGTTGTAATAATGTACCAGAGGTTTTAAATCTGGTCTCTTTCCTATCTCTATTTGGTCTCTAAAGTTCTTCAGGGACATATAAGAATTACTTATATGGAATTATAAGAATTACTAAACTGGCTACTATCAYTGGGCCTGATAAATTCCTCTCTCTCTTTTTTTAAATATTTATTTTTTAGTTTTAGGTGGACACAATATCTTTACTTTTTTTTTTATTTTTATGTGGTGCTGAGGATTGAACCCAGTGCCTCATGCATGCCAGGCTAGTACCCTATCACTTGAGCCACATCCCCAGCCCTAAATTCAATCTCTTAATAGTTAAAAGGTAATTAAATTAAAAAAACACACACACACACAAATGGAAAGTAAGATTAAAATACAGAATAAACTAAATTAAGTTGTAGCACATGCACATATGTACCATACTTTCCTTTTCTTTGGTGTGGGCCACACAATAAGAAAGACTAGTATGTTACCACTATTCAGAGCCTCCAATTTTGTGCCACAAGTCAGAAAGGACATGGTACAACATGTGCAAGGGGATCTGTTTTTCCTTCTCTCCCAAGTTTAGTCCTGAGATAATATTTTTTGGAGACACAAAAGGAGAAAATAGAAAATCCCCTGTAGACCTAAATATTTTGTATGAAATAAATGTAGAATGAAGGATCGTAAGTACCATTTATAAAAATTATATAGATAACCATAATAATTTACTGAACATCAACTGTGGGCAGATATGTAGAAACTCCTACTTAGGTTTCTATTTTCATTTAACAGATTGAAGATCAAGTCTTCCTAATACATGATCCTTTTGCAACAGGCATTGCCTAAGAAGCATCTGTCATATCCTTTACAGTTGTTTGTATTCTTTCCTACTAGATTATAGAGAAGAATCCATGAGGGATTGACTATACTTATCATGGTGTTCTACATTTTATTTTCCCCAAACCAGTACCTAACACAAGTGAATGCCTGTACGTGTGTGTGTATGTGTGTGTGTGGTGTGTGTGTTTTATTACAGTATTTTGCTTTTTAATGATTATGCCTGATCTAGAAAAAAAATAAACTCTTTTTAGGATTATTTAGCAAATTATAACTAAAACACGTGGATTAGAAAAGAATGGTAGAGGTGAAACATGAACTCATTGTACCAATAGAATATGAAAGATAACATAAGTGCTAAGTAAAGTGGTGAAAGACTTTATCAAGATGTGCTCAGCCACTTGAATGTGCTATGGTCACATGATCTCTAAAAATGAAATGTAAAGCTTAAATCAACCCTGTTRTAATCTGAATGTTTGAGCTTTCTGAGAAAAGGGCTTGCCCTCTGCCATTTTAAGAAACTGGCATCTTATCTGATATTTGAAATTATCTGAAATTATCTGCTGTTTATTATTTTCAAACATAATTTAAGAGAATCTCCTACTGCTTCATTGCTCTTCTAATGTTACAAAGCTATTTTTATTTTCATGAATGGCATTGTATTCATTCTGGTCTTAGTATTAGGTAATTCTTTAAATTCTTCCCCAAAGATAGGGAGTATTGGACTTTAAAGAAAAAAATGTGGGGGGATGGGAATAGGAAAGATGGTAGAATGAATGAGACATAACTTTCCTATGTTCATATATGAATACATAAACAGTGTAAATCCACATCATGTAGAAAAACAAAAATGGATCCTAATTAGAATAAGCTGTACACCATGTATGTATAATGTTAAAATACACACTGATGTCATGTGTACCTAAAAATAATTAAAAAATCAAAAAGAAAAGAAAAAAAGTGGGAATTTTTAGATTCTTAAGTATTGTTTTGTACCTATTTAATGAATGCAAATGTATTGGAGGGTAAAGGTATTCTAATGTCAGATGACCTAAGCCTAAGTCCCCAAGTTGAGACTTGCTAGCTCATCCTATAAATTAGTTATAACATATGCACCTCACAGGGTTGTTGTGAGGATGAGTTGAACAAATGTCTTTGACAATACATTCTGTATTATGGTAGGGTATGATAAAGTTATCTGCTAGGGAATGAACATAGCCCTGCATTTGCCTTGTTGAGCCATTTTACCTGTGAATATCTGTATAAGATCTGCATAAGGGTAGGATCTTTGTCCTTTCTACTACTTCAGTTTAGTCTAAATCAAGTCAATCCCTCATGGAATTTGCTTATAATCCAGTAGAGAAGAATACAAACTGTAAAGGATATGACAGAGGCTTCTTAGGAAATGCCTGGTGCAAAAGAAACACATAATAGGAAGATCTGATCTTCAACTGTTAAAACAGAAACCTAAGTAGGAGTTTCCACTTGCAAGCAAATGTGATGGGAGGAGAAAGGGAACGTAAATGTGTTCCAGGAAGAGAACAGGTATGAAGGTGAACACAGGACCATATAGAAAGTGAAAGGATACATGGTAAAAGACAACGCAGAGGAGGGTACTCAGGACCTCAATATTTGGCTTTCTGTTAACCACATTAGGGTATTAGATTTACTCTGAGGATAAAGAAACAGTTTTCTATATTTTCACGTTGTAACGAATGGACTGGAATGAAGCCGGAGACAGTGGGGAGACCAGAGAGGAGGTTGGCAAAGTCAGAGTGGTTGAAATTAGAGATGGAGGGGCATGCAAGGATCTTTAGGAGGCAGACGTTTAGGAGGTTGACAAGTCTTGGTGACTAACTGCGGAAGGAGTGGGTGGGGTAGGTGAGATGTATGCTTTCTGGGTCCCCAGGCAGCAGCTCAAGTCAGGCTTAAGATCAGACACACTTGAGAAAAAGAGTGTCAAGTGTGACACTATTTCAGCACGAATTGAAGGGATTAAGCTGTTGATACAGTAACTTTGACTATGGATATAGAAACACAGAAAGGAACTGGGGGATTGACGAAAGCCACCAGGTCTGAAAAGGAATTGGGGTTAATGCTTAAAAATTAGCTCTCCGGAAAAACTAAAACCACACAGTCAACCTGAGAAAAATCTAGGATCGGGTCCTAGACAACAGCAAACTCCAAACACTCGTGCAATAATGGCAGGATCAGCTCCCAGAACCAGCGCCTCAGTCAGCAWCTGGCAGGCTTTCAGCCCCCAGGGCAGAGTTTCCCGGGGACGCTCCTCCCTTCTTGATCCCGGCCAGGGCCGGCGAGTCCAGCCGCCGCCACTTCTCCAGCATCCCACCTCCTCCCGTCTCGGTCCTGCCTCCACCTGCAGGGCCTCAGCGCCCACGGCCTACCCACCCGGCCGCAGCCCCCTCCCCGCCCGGCCTCCGCAGACAAAGCTCGTGTTTAGGACCCAGCCTCCGCTCTCCGGCCTCTCATCTCCTGGGTCTCCACACCCAGCCCAGACTCCAGCTCCGCGGCAGGGTCTCTCCCTCCGCCGCCTCACTGCTCGCCCCCGCAGTCCTAGTCGTCACAAAACAAAGGATCCGCTGCCCAGACCGCCCATTTCCTCGGTCCCCTCGCAGCAGCTGCAGACACCAGCAGGTCCTGGCGGTGGGCGCCGGGCTTGGGGGGATGAAGCCAGCGAGCCGAGGGCAAATGGCGCAGGGCAGACAAGGGGCGAGCGCGCCACTTACCGCGTAGCTCTAGCGAGCGCCACACGGCACACACCGCTCCCCTCCGCGACTGCCAGGCTTCCGCCACCCGCCGCCAGGAGAGGTGAGTGGAGAGCTAGGCCCGCGCCGCCGGAGGCCCCGCCCCCACAGGCCCCGCCCCGGCCCCAAGGCTCCGCCCCGGCCTCGGCCCCGCCCCCGGCCCGACTCGGCCCCGCGGAGCTCGCACTTASGTTGGCGACAAAGCTTACTTCAGCTCCGGCCCGCCTGGCCCCAGCCCGCCGCAGGACCATGTCCCCGCTGGGCCCGGAGCGGAGCCCGCCTTTCTCCGGCGGCAGCCCCGCCCCGCGCGCTGGGCCCGCCCCCGCGCGCAGATTGAAGTCTGCATCCCGCCCTYGGCTGAAGACCCGCGGGCTTCCGCCCCCGACCCCCTGGTTTCCGGAGGTAAGTTGAGGTACAACCCCGGCCACGCCTGGTCCAAGGTCACTYACAGCGGAGGTAAAGTGTCGCCTGCTGCCCAGTTTGAGCTCCGGGAGGGAGGGAGCAAGCCCAGACTCGCACTGGTAAACTCTCCTTCCCCTCAAAAGACATCAGGCCTTTCCTCGGTTTCCCCCAGCTCCCTGCCCCTAAATCAAAAATCTTAACTATCCTCCGGGTTTCCGGCCTGTTTTGGGTTCTGCGCTCGTTCCAGACCCTCATGCAAACTGTGAAGTGTTTTCATAGAAGAATATACCAATGCACATGAGCACGAACTGCTGCTCAGATTTTGTGTTTAGTTATAATTTTGAAGTTCTGTCAAGAAATCGGGGACACTCCCCCCCCCCATGATAGAACCTACTTTCCCCCAACAATTTTGTCCAGTTGGATGTAAATCGGGCTATATTGCTATATTCTGATATAAATATACACAGTTAAACACATGGCACCCATTTGTTGAGAGCTTACCCTAGGCTCTTAAATTTCTTAACACATTTAGTTTTTCTTTTTTTTTTTATACCAGGGATTTAACCTAGTGGCGCTTAACCACTGAGCCACTTTTTGAGACTGGGTCTCGCAAAGTTGCTGAGACTAGCTTTGAACTTGCAATCCTCCTGCCTTAGCCTCTGGAGTTGCTGGGTTTACAGGCGTGTGTCACAATACCCTTTAGACAACTGCTGGATGTAGGAATTCCAGTCTCCATCTGAACTTAAAGAGGTTAAGTGGTTGGTCTTTGCAGAGAACCACAGTAGTTGAATTCAGATCCCAGAAATAAAAAGTAGGCCTTTTTTGAAACACCTCCCAAATGGAGTGAGGACCAGTGGCAGTCCTTTTTCTGCTGTGATAAAACTGAGGACTAGGACCCACTCAGCCCTAATAGTGGTTCAGCAGGGCAGTAATTAGCAAAGAGAGAACTAATATGATTTAACAAGTCCTCCTTACCGCATTGTGATGCCCCCCCCCCCATTTTTTTGGGGTGCATTGTAGTTGTACATATTAATGTTACATATTCATTCATTAGTTGTTACATATTCACACAATATAATTAATAACTCCCCTTATGCTAAATTTTCTTGCAAAAATCATGCTTTCAATAAAGCATTAGCAGCAGTTTCTTCTTTTCACCTAAATTATACTAATTTACTTAATCTAGAGAAGTATTAATTATAGCAAACAGCTAGAGGCAATGTTTCCTGACTTAGCCCTATCATTTCTCTTTACAGAGGTGTCCTGGAGGTAGCAGAATTTGATCTGGACCTTGAAGGAGAAGAATTCAGGAAAAGCAACTGTGAGAGAAACAAGAGCAAGAGAATTTCTGGAGTGATCCAGGAGCAGAAAGTGATCATTATCATTCATTTGGTGAGAAAGCTGAACGAGAATAATAATAGGTAAGTGATTTAAGGCCAGATTCTGGAGGGGAGTTTAGACTTCATGAAGTAAGCTATAATGTGAATTGAGTGATGCTGTGAAATAGTTAATTAGTATTCCTATGGAGAGTTTTGAACATAGTTTAAGGATGTGTCTGGCAGAGTTATGTTGTTTGGATGGGAGGTGGAGCATGCCTATAATCCCAGCAGCTCTGGAGGCTGAGGCATGAGGCAGGGGAATTGCTAGTTCAAAGCCAGCCTCAGGAAAATTGAGGAGGTAAGCAACTCACTGACACCCTGTCTCTAAATAAAATACAAAATAGTGCTGGGGATGTGGCTCAGTGATCGAGTGCACCTGAGTTTAATCTCTGGTTACCCCGCCCCCCAAAAAGAAAATACTAGAAAAGAACAATGTATCACTATAAGATTTTTTTTTTTTTTTTTTTTGGTACGGAGGATTGAATCCAGGGGTGTGCTTTACCACTAAGCTACATCCCCAGTTCTTTGTATGTTTTTTTAAATTTTGAGACAGTGTCTTGCTAAGTTGGTTAGGGCCTTGCTAAGTTACTGAGGTTTGCCTTGAACTTGTGATCCTCCTGCTTCAGTCTTGAAGTCGTATGTATTACAGGCACGCACCGCTGCACCCCATTGCTATAAGCTTTCTTTGCCCATATGATAGGTTTTTGGGAATTTAAATATGAGTTACTTTTGTTTAAGCATACACAGGCAAAGTACTGAACTGGGGGGAAAGGAGGAAGTTCAGTTAATTATGTTTAATTTCTTAAGGTGTTATTCATCCAGGAAGTAAACATATAATACTTCTTTTTTTTTTGGTACTAGGGATTGAACTCAGGGGCAGTTGACACTGAGCCACATCCCCTGCCTTATTTTGTATTTTATTCAGAGATAGCGTGTCATTGGGTTGCTTAGCACCTTAGTTTTACTGAGGCTGACTTTGAACTCGTGATCCTCCTGCTTCAGCCTCTGAGCTGCTGGGATTACAGGCATGCACCACCATGCCTGGCCCATAATAATATTTCTACAAGTGAATTTTGACCACATACTCTAGAATGAATATTTAAGCACTGAGAAAAATAGTATATAAATGTATTACAAGCAACTGGAAAAGGATAATATTAAGAAAACCTTGTCATATACCAGAATATTACTAAATATTAGAACTAGAATATTACTAGAAAACACAAAATCCTGATGAATCTAATCTCAGTATAGAGGGAGAAGTTGGAGTTAGGGGATTGGGGTTGATCTATGATTACACAAAAGGAGAACCTAGGAGAGCTGGGCTAGAAAGAAGCATGGCAAGATTGGCTTCAGGTCTCCCTAAAAGCTAGTGAATATGAATCATGTATTCCCCTAGTCCAGCTGCTGGGGGGAAGCCACAAAGAGTCATAGCTGAGCAAGTCTGAACATAAACCCAGGGAAGCCAAGGCTGCTTAGATATGATTGACTTTCCATTTATATCCTCATTGCCCCTTCTCCCATAGTTACCCTGAAAAGACTAACCCAACCTTTTTTTCTAGCTCAGCCACCTGATAAGGATATCAAACATGGTTAAATAGACATTCTGGTGCAGTGTTGAGAAATAAATTATAAAGCTCTTTAAACCTACTCTCTTAAAATACATCAAGTATTTTCCTTTGGAACCTGGAAACTATTGCCAAAAATAGTTTTGGTCTCTGGGTAAAAAGAATCTTTATGTATAATTATATAAAAGAGTACTGTATTCATTCTCCACCAGGAATTAAAAGCATTTCTAATATGATGACATATTCTCCCATAAGGTAGGGATGAGGAATATGATAGTCCCAAACCAGAATGCCAGATGCCTTCCAATTCTCCATTTCCTTTGCTTTTGTCATTCAACCCTCCAGTTGTCTTCTGATCTCATACCAGCTGTTAAAATGTTCGTGCTGTGCAAAGAATTTGGGACATGATATATACTGATCCCACCCACTCCCCGGTGCCCCCTGTTGATGCTCCTGGTTTCCCAAAGGCAGCAAATCTTCAACTGGTTTTCCATTGAAGACTCCGTGACTTTAATGTTTGACATACTCCCATGTTCATACCAGGATTTTTATAAAAACAAGCAAACTTTTTCTTCTGTCTTTTTTTTTTTTTTTTTTTTTTTTTGTGGTGCTGGGGATTGAACCTCAGGGCCTTGTGCATGTGAGGAAAGCATTCTACCAACTGAGCTATATCCCCAGCCCCAAGAAAACTTTTTCTGAGAAGATTTCAGACTAGCTGTTATGGTGTATGTCTCTGATCCCAACTACTCTGGAAGCTGAGGCAGGAGAAGCATAAATTTCAGACTTGGCTGGCAACTTAGTGAGACCCTGTCTCAAAAGAAAAAATAGAAAGGGCTTGGAATGTAGCTTAGTAATAAGGTGCTTGCCTAGCATGCATGAGGCCCTGGGCTCAATCCCCAGTACTGCAAAAAAGAAAAATTAAGATTTCAATGTCACTAAGTGTGAATGTTTATATGGTTATTCCTAGTCAGTTGTTGGTTAGATACTATGATTCAGATATGACTGTGTTCTGTGTTTGTTTTCTTCATTAAGCAAACAGTGGACTTTGTTGAAAGTTAATACATTTCATATAATAGACAGTTTCTCAATTAGGTTTATCTAAATATAGTGGATTTTTATGTAGTTATGAAGCAGATTAAAGTAAAATGAATATCCAGAATCTATCTAGCAATAAAGAACCATAGCACTATGTATATACACACACAAACACACACACAAGCTGGGGATTAAACCCAGAGCCTTGCACATAGTAGGCAGGCTCACCACTGAGCTACACCCTCAGTCCATTCTCCCACCCCTTTAAAATTTTTTTTGTCTCCCAAGTTCTCCAGGCTCTCCCATACTTGCAATCCTCCTACCTCAGCTTCCCAAATAACTGGGTATAAGGGGCTGGGTTTGTAGCTCAGTAGTAAAACACATGACTTGCATGCATGAGGCACTGGATTCAATCCTCAGTATCACATAAAAATAAATAAATAAAATAGAGATATTATGTCCAAATAATTGGGTAGCTAGGATTACAGACGTTGCATCACCACATCTGGCTAAGAACCATAGCACTTTGTATTGACAAGTTAAAGTAGCTTTTAAAAATACTTGTAATGCAAAAATAAATAAATAAATGAATTTTAAAAAATACTGTCCCATTTCCTCAATCCACCAAATTTATGTTTCTTTCCGAGGAGTATCTGTTGTGAAATTTATATTGATATCTCTAGAACTATGTTTGTTTCTTGGTTTACAGTTTTCTTGTGGATTAGATGTTACTCTGGATTCACATATCTAACTGCTGGTGCTGGCTGTTAGCTGGGATGTTTTGTTTCTTCTCCATATGACCTTTCATTCTTTATGAGGCCACAGTTATAACATGACAGTCTCAGGAGAGAACTGCAGGATAGCCAAATCCAATGCAAAATCACC